GCATGATTAGTTAAAAAGTTTTGTGTTGTGACAAAATGCAACACAATTGCGAAATACGGATAGAACTATCTCAAAGTGTTTTATTGTGTTTACTGAGCACACTAAGGTATGTAGATTTGAGCAACAACAAGTAAATTCAACATCCTGTTAATCTGCCAAATGCTGGTTTTGGAAATTTTCTGCCGAAAGCAGGTTTGTCTCTCAGCGAGCTAATATTTTTTTGTATTCTTAGACTTATAGAAAATATACAAATCACTTAGAAAATCAAGATCCTAGGATTTCGGGATCTTTTGCACAGATAAAAGAAAGAAAAATTAACTTTTCAAAATTATAAACGTTGGACAAAACCTTTTTAAACTTTGAATGACTTCATGGGCATGCATGGATAATCACAGTGTTGGCAAAACAGAAATCAATTGATATTTTTCCGCTCTCATGCGCTCGCAATATCACGCGTGATATTGGAACAAAATATTATGCTTAATATTGATTTTACAAGCTCCTTCGATATTGCGAGACTATTCACAACGTGCAAAAATCAAGCTGAGAGTTGACTCAACACAAAAATGATTCCATTGCACTTCGTTTTCTTAGAAATAGAAAGCATAGTTTGCTATCTCTCTTTAATCTTCACCGATGGCAGACACTAAGGGGCTGCTGCAAGCCGGTATGGAAGTTTCGGTTGCATTCGGGTGTAAAGCAAAAATCATTAAACTCAGTCTCACCACAGTTTGGTGAGATTTGCAGTTGGTGAGTTTTGTTAGATTGATATTCCGAGCTGCGATAAAACAGTTTGCAAAATCAACCGCAATAGTGTGCTTGTTGATTTTTGTCTACGAAAATTAAGCGTGATCTTGTAAGTTATATTAACTGAAAAATAATAACAAGTTATGCCCACTCTAGTTCGTCATGCATAAAAGATACAGATTTGAGTTGTAAACAAAAGTTGTAGCTTTTTATATTAGTTAACAAAGCTTCATACAATATTCTGCGGCATTGCGTGTTGGTGAAAAAAGTTAGAGGCAAATGAATGTAAATGAATGCACGAAACAAATGTAAATGATTTTCCATGCCTGCTCAAGGGATATATCCGTAGATCCGCTCGCTCTAAGACCATAATAAAGAATTTATACAATTTTTTTTATTTATATTTTTTGTCAGTCACAGATTACAAAGATATTTTGCAGTGAAAATACAGATTGAAATAAAAATGTGTCTGCGTCTTCTTATTTCTTTGTGTTGTTCTTCTTCGCATTTCAAGCTTATTAAATATCGCATTATTAGCTTATTGCGTGCTCTCAACTTAGTGTGTTCTATATGCACTTCCACAGTTATTAATTGAGAGCTTTCGATGCCTGTGCCATTTTTGCATTAGTATAATTGTGTGACAAGTACATTCACACTCTATGCCCAGGGAAGTCAATAAATTTTCCAGCTCGAAAAATTCCTAGACCGGACCGGGAATCGAACCCAGCCACCTCCAGCATGGTCTTGCTTTGTAGCTGCGCCTTTTACCGACTGAGCTATGAGAGGTAAAATATATGGCAAATAAAGAACAAACTGTAACTGTTCGTTTTTCCCGGCAAGTTCAGTAGCAAGAGACCTCTCGAGTTGGGTCTCAGGATCGGCTTACTACTTGGTAATCACGAGGAACTTCGCAGACAAAATGTGCAGCGTACGGTCACCTGACTAGAGATGCTGTGTAGTGTGAATTTATTGATTTAAACATTGACTTTGACTTTGAGGGTTTTTATTTAACAAATTGGTGTGTTGGTAGGATTGGGTTAGATTTCTGTAGTCTATTTTTCTGTTTGTGGGTGTGGGTAAAATTAACTGTGTTCGTCAGAACGTACCACTGCTTATTCTGACGATATGGCGACGTCCTACGAGCGCTCGCTGCTGATGCTGCTGCTGCAGCTACTGCTGCTGCTGCAGCTACTGCTGCTGACGACGAACTGGCAAGCTGATTCCCAAAACAGTGGGTAATTACCGTCTAACCGCACGATGGTTTGTCGATGGTGTGTGGCTATGCAAGCCTTTCAGGCGTCCTCCCTCGTTAACGGAGATTGGAGCCTCTTTACGGGCGGCTGACCCAGAGGTTTGAATTGGTCCTTTGCGAGGTCTACTACGCCGAATCGTGTGCACCTGGTCGAGCTTCTGACCAGACAAAATGGCAACTTTCAGCCGAATTAACAGAATAGAAAAGGTCCTGACGAATCCGTCGTCTTCTCCCTTTTTCGCTGGAGACCACTCACTTAGCAATGTGAAGGACACCCAGGCAACACACATCCATCAAAATAGGTTGCTGCAACTTGATTGTGACTGAAATAAGGTGCATATAAGTAACCACAACTGTTAAATGACAAGTGTAAGTTATAATATGGCTCTTGTGCACACGAACGCCTGTAACTTTATTACATCACTATCATCAAAATGCCTATAGGATCCAGTTGACTAAATCAAAATTATAATATCTATAAAAATCGCATTACACAGTATCTCTAGTCAGGTGACCGTACGCTGCACATTTTGAAAAAATAATAGCAAATTGTAACAGTCCGTTACAAAACAAAACCATTTGACTAGTCGTGCTTTCACTCGGAGAACCAACAGTCACACAAGCTCACTGTTCTCGATCGTAAATAGTACACACCTAGACATCGACTGAAGTGAGGTTGTGGGACAAACAGTCGAAAGACAAAACAGTCGAAAGGCAAAAGGTCGAAATAACAAAATATCTATGGTTCAAAAGGTCGAATGGAAACAAATTCGAACGATGAGAAGAGGCTCAAAAGGTCGAATAATGCGAAGGCGACAAAAGGTAGAATGATGAGAAGGGGGACAAAAGGTCGAATGGTTCAAAAAGAGATAAAAAGTCGATTTGACAAAAGGTTGAATGTTAAAGTGGTCGAATGGTTAAAAAAAGGACAAAAGGTCGAATGGACAAAAGTTCGAATGGACAAAAGTTCGAATGTACAAAAGGTCGAGTGGACAAAAGGTCGAGTGGATTAAAGGTTGAGTGGACAAAAGGTCTAGTGGACAAAAGGTCGAGTGAACAAAAGGTCGAATGGTTCATAGAGTTATAAAATGTTCAATGGAAAAAAGGTTCAAAGAGGAACAAAAGGTAGAATGGCCCAACAAAGAACAAAAAGTCGAATATACTAAACGTTGAATGGAGACAAAAGCTTGAATGATCCAAAGAGAGACAAAAGGTCAAATGGACAATAGGTCGAATAATTAAAATGGGAGGCAAAAGGTCGAGTGGACAAATGGTAACATGGTCAAAACAGGGACAAAAGGTCGAATTTCACAAAGAGGGAAATAATATAGTGCTTTCTCGATTTTGTCTACCCCCGATTTTGTCTGATTTTTACCCCGATTTTGTCAGCCTGCAGATTTCGCCAAATTTTTCAGTTTTTAAACATAAATCCTCAAACTCTGAACGATTTTAATACTTACCCTTCGCTGAAATGTGAATGTTAGGGAAAATGAGGTAAAATTTACGTTCGGGCAAAATGAACACTAGGCGATTTTAAGTGCTTATTCATTCAAATATCAATTAATTCAACGTACAGGTCTTTCAACCATTTATATTTTAATTAATTTGCATCCATATAATTTGAATGATTTCTCCATTTAAAAGGTTAATTGTTAATTTTACTCAGTGTTCCCCTACTTGGAATTATTAATTTTGAATTCTTGTTTGCGAGAAAAATCATTTTTACCACGGAAAACTTGCACACTTTGGAAAAATCATGTAAATTTAGGTTCCCTGAGACTGACATATACGAGCGTCAATTTTGACATAGAATTGAGTCATAAAAGATGCGAAATTCAGCTCAAGTCGAGTACTGAACTTGTCAGTCTCGGAGCACTTAATTTTACATGAAATATTTGTTTACGTCTGATCCTTTATGTCAAAGATGGATTCCGTCACGAGTAAAATTATTTTTTTTCTTAGTGTGTGTGTTTCCTTTCTTTGCAATTGTAATAAAAACATTACTTCATTGTCAATAATGTTTATTCTTAGAAAATAAAAAAAAGGTGGGCATTACATAATACAAAAACTGTATTGTACCCACTTAGAAATTATTATTTTTACACGAGACGTAATTCAGCTTTGACGTAAATCATGGAACGTAAACAAACATGGCATGTAAAATTAAGTGTCCTGAAACTGAAACATATGCAACTCGACGAAAAGTGCGTTTGATTGAATTGATTTTCTCGTCCTTTTCAACTGATTCTTATGTCAAAAGGGCCGCTTGCATGAGCCGGTCTCAGGGCACTGAAATTTACATGTCTTTTTTGTAGTGTGTACATTAAAGTTTTGAATGATTTTAAAATATTCAAAAGATTTTGTCACCGCAAATTCTCGAATTCAGCGGAGATAAATAACATCGTTAATTGAAAATGACGATGCTTCAGCCCAATCAGCCCTATCAGCTTTTAGCCGCCCGCGCAACTTTGAATGTGGCTTCCCCCTACTCGACAGTACTGTTTGTTTAGGTGGGCTGCCTTCGGCTTGCGATCAAAGAACTGTCGCGATTTCGTCCACAAAGGCTGATAGACCCTTTTCAATCGTTGGTCAGTTATTGTCTCTAGGTTTTTTTTTTTGCAATATAATATATTTAAAATACAAACAAAATATACCAACTGCTACAGGACTCACTCCCCTACCTGATCGAAACTAGATTGAAAGCAAAGATGCATTCAAAGTTTTTAAAACAATATGAAAACCAGTTTTTTGTATTCAAATAAGTTGAAAAATTATTACATTGAATTCTTAAAGAATGCAAAGCCAGGATTCAATTTTCAACCATCTACTGCCATTGTCGTCTGCATCATCATGACCTTCTCTGCTATTCCAAATCGCAAGTTCTTATCCCCTGTAAACTTCCTCATAAAAATACTCGTTGTAAATGATTCATCATCGTTCGCTTACAACTCAGTTCAATTACCAGCTATATGTATAGGAATAGAACGGAATTTTTACTTACCAGCACGATTTCAACCGCACCGACTATGTACATGGCGGCCGCTAGTGTTGTTCCCGTGTAGAACAACATCCCGACAGCGCCACCGAATTCGGGCCCGAGCGATCTGTTGGAATGAGCAAGAAGAATAAAAAGTTTGTTTAATACAAAAACCAAAAAAAAAAGAAGTTACTGCAGACATAATGAAGAAAGCCAAATGGAACGAGCAAGTCTGGTTGCGGTGAGGATTGCCTGTGCTTTGCTTTCCATACAGCGGACCATCATCGTCCACTTTCTGTCTCGGACTCGGAGGCAAATGCATAATTTAATTAAGTCGAGTCAAATTTGTTGGCATAAATTGTAGATGGACATTGTTAACTGAAACTTGTAAAATGAAGAAAGGCGTGGAAAGTGGACTAATGCAAAATGTAAACGATCCTTGCTCGGTTGAGCTTTCGTTGTCCGGCACTGAATGGGCGTAAAGGGATTTTCCGGAGTTTTCCATGGAGCTTATGATGCTGCATTTAGTAAATGGCACGTTGTATTATTAATAAAGTTGTAGTAAGTAGTATTATGAAATATTCTGTTGTCGTTCGACGAAAAACTGTGTGTCCGATATTTATCGTTAAGTGAACATTTATTCATTTTATGCAATTGTTTCGGTTCGCTGCTTCCACAATGGGTGCAACTTTCCGAGACCATTTATATCTCTTTTCAGAAGCAAAAGTTTGAGCCCATTGTTAGAAGCCGGCTTTCTTCCCGCTCCAAAACAGGTAGAGTGCAAAAATAAACTTGCACGGTACTTGAGATGAAAATTCTTTCACTTCCTACAATGGGAAGACGAACGAAATTCTTCCCAACGGTGGCAATCTTTGGTAAAGAAATAAGTTTGTCTCGTAGATTTCTTTTATTTTGTTTAGGAAAAAAAAAATCAAAACCGAGTGACACACATACCAACACATACACCCATTTACGAAGGCAAAAAAAAAGTTTTTCCCGAGTATCGCAGCAGCTGAGAGCAATTTTTCATTCAGACTTGCATACCGAAACTTTTTCTTCCCCTCTACAAAAGTCCGCGCTGAATTACGTAACTCTCGGTATTTTTTCCGGATCCGATTGCAGCAACTTTAGCCGACTTAATGTCGTCGTCGTCGTCGTCGTTGATCCGTCTTCCCTAACTGGCAGAGTATAGTAAAAGTGTAATAACAAAAGCTCTGAAGGAAAAACAGCAAAGTTACTCCGCACCACCAACCAAGACAAGTGGGGGGGCCCATCGAAGAATGGGTGCTTGGGGACTGTCAAGTAAATACCTGCTGGGAGGCAAACACGACGAAGGCGATGTATGAAAGTAAACACTCAAAAGTAAATATGCCCCAAGGAATGTTTTTCTGTTTTATGGTGAACTGTTTTTCTTGCGGATGGACGCTTTTGAAGCGCGATGCATCTGCGAGCTCGATACTATTCGTAAAGATGCAATTTTCTCGGAGCGTTTGGTTTGTGCGTGTTGGGAGTCTGGAATTTGTGTTGCATTTTGTATGTAGTAAAAACGAATGTAGCAAGGAGAGTGCATTTTGTTGTAAATTTTACTGCAAAATGTTATGGCACATCTAGAGTTGGACTCATTCTCAATGCTAAGCGTATGACTAGCGCAGAGCAATGTTGATTCAATGATCTAACTAGGGTACCATAGCTCAATACAGCGAACAGGTTTCAAAAGTCGCACAATGACTCAGGACATAGCAACATATTAAATAAGTATTCCTCCTGTGTTCCTCCAACATATACAAAGTTCTATTATTTTTACTTCTTGAAAATCGACTCAACTTTTACAATGTTCTTATTTTAAAAACTATTTTTTTTTCAAATTCTCTCAATTCGACCAAGATCTCAGAACATCTATGACCTCCTTCAGACTTTAGGGAAGACCTTGAACCTTTTCTACATTTTTTCTCAAACATCTGGGCGAAAGAAAGTTTCCAAAACATCCAGTATGTTTCCAAATCACAATCTGAAGTTCTACGATACTCTCTGAGCCACTACAAAATTATCTGAACTAATCGCTGAGCTCTACAACTTCGGCTTAACTTCTACGAAGGTCATTGAACATTTAAAAAATATCCCAGCTCTTTTATGAAGTTTTACGAAGATCCTCGAATTACTTTGTACTTCGCTTCCCAAGTAACAATTTAACAGCATTTTGGCTATTTTTAGTTTTAATACAGCTTTATGCTGTTTTAAAAACCTTTTAAAGTCTGACGAGAAAATCAGAAAGTGTCTGGTTTTAAAAATGAATTTAGTGCAGCACTCTATCCCTTTATAAAACTGTTAAGTAAATCAATTGGTATTTGTTTTATTGATGTCACGACAAAATTCTCCATTAGGGTGTTTTATCACTATAAAAGCAATTATGAAACCGTTCGGTTTCAAACGACATCAAAAAGCATATATTGGTGCGTTTTGGTGCCAATAAAGTGTATCACAAAACCTTCCACTGTTTACAAATAAAATTAAAGGATGGCTCCGCCTAGAGACAGAGAAAAACACAACCGAGTGGGATAATCGAGTAATTATTCAAGCAATTCTGTCGACGGAAGACAAAAGGAATCCAATGCCAGAACTTTCTGGGAAGACAGCTCTGACTAAATCGGTGAACAACAACAGAGCAGCCGATTGAGAGGAGCGAAGTGCGTGCGATTTACGAAGCACTGGAAGCCGTCAAATCAGACGCTTAAAATTGATTGGAATACACAGCATATTGTGGAATAGCATCACTGCCAAGCTGGGACTACGGAAAACTGCTGACAGGAAACTTCAGAAGCTGTCCGTCAGCTGGAAGTTCGTTGATTTCCGAACCATAGCATCGATTTCATTCGGCAAAAGGGTTAACTGTTCCAAAAATTCCAAGCAATTACGTAGATACACTTCCTGAGTAACTGTTTCCAATGGATGAATTGCCCTTATCAAGAATGTCACGCAACTTGTTGATTCAACGCTGCAGTAGAACATCGTTGCAATGATCGCATAACAAAACTATCGAAAGATAAATAAATTCTGACGCTTAACTTTTTCCAGCCAACTTTGCCACCAATAATGCCATCATAAAACTAAACGGAATAGGATCAAGCAAAATGGCTACAGATAAAAACAATTCAGTCTACTAATAATCTTCATAAAAGCCGCATTAAAATGTTTTGCATTTGCTAGCGATTTCATGACAGCAAAACAGCTTTTTCACAAATGGCTTATGGAAAATTAATGTTTATGCTATCGCCATATTGTTATTATTTCATTTGCGGTTTTTCATCTTCGTTTTTCAAGATGTTTTTCTTTTAAAAGAACTTTATTCTCATGAATTCCTCAATGGGCAGAACGAAAATCCTCAAATTGTCTCGGCTGGGAGCAATGATTCACATAACATACAACAATATTTTGTTTCCTAAATTAAAAATAATTATTCAAATCAACGCTTTCCGAAGGAAGACTTATTTTTATCGATCGATATCGAAGCACATTTCACATAAGATTTAATCTGTCACCTACACATAGACCACAATATTAGTTAGGATAATTTTAGTAATTCTTTCACTTTAATGATGAGGAAATTAATGAAGATTTTTGACAGATCCATTTAAGAAGAATGAATTTGGCAAGATGGGACAATATTTATGTATCCCTTTTTATCTTGATTGATGCTTTATTTTTAGTGCGCTTAGCAAGCGTCAAAAGCAAATGGCACAAGTATTGGTGCTAAATGGTTTTTATTGTACTTTTAATAAGTATTTCAAATGGTTTTCAATGCATTCGTCATATAACCTTTTTGCAGCAAGTCATTCTTGAAATGTCTGGATAATGCACTCTTTAGAACCTTCTTCAGGGTGGGCCAACTAGACAGATTCTAGTCCTAATGAGGTTTTGGTGGATGTAATAAAGGCAAAGCTATCTTGACCAGGATTTTATGAATGTTGTTTTATAGAAGCCTTGTAGTACTTCATAAAACGTTAAATGTTACTTGGGTTGACTTCTGAAAAGTTCTCAGAATCATTAGGAAGTCCACTGCACTTCTACAAAGTTCCCTGAACTTTTTAAGAAATTCATTGATTATCTGCGAAGTTCCCCTCTACAAAGTTTCCTGAGCATCTACGGATTTTCCTGATCTATTCTAAGTCCATTAGTCTTAAACAAAGTATCATGATACTAAAAGAAGACTTTTTTTTATTAAGTAACTTAAAATTAAACCAAGTTCCCTTAACTTCAATGAAGTTCCCCATGCTTGAGCAAGGTTCATAATTCTCCTTACGAAGTTTTCCTGAATTTTTACAAAGCTTCGAAATTCTCAGAAGTTTCCAAATTTATGTTGAAATTTCTGAATTTCTACGATGTTCCAATAACATATTTTAAGTTCCTGAAGTTTTAAAGAGTCTAATGAAGTGATAGAGCTTCAATGAAGTTCCCCGGATTCCTACAAAATTTGCAAAACTTATCTAAACGTCGTCAATTTTGATTTAATTAATATATTTGATGAAGTTCAAGAAAGTTCGTTGAACTTCTGCAAAGCCATATATAGGAAGACAAAAACATTAGCGCTAAAAACACCACTTTTAGGTATATGGTGCCTTGGGGAAAGTTTCTTCGTAATATTTTGACAATCTTTTTATGTTAGTGAAATTAGGGTGGTCCACAAAATTGGTGATTTGAAAATACTAACTATTTTATTATTTGAGATAGACCAATTCAGTATTCTAAAAAGTTGTAGAACAATCAATTTGAAGCAACTTTGCGCAAGACAGTAAAGTTATATCTCTTATGGCTCATGAGTTATGATTATTTTAAACAAGCAGGTTACCCCAAAAAAAAAACAGATTTCTTTTACTATCTTTTCATAAGTTAATTTCTCGTAAAAACGTTGTTTTGGACACATTTATAACTTATGATGACGCACATCCCAAGTAACCAACAAGCCCGTTAATCGCCCTTTTTGGTATATAAGGCTGCTATACGACTGATATAAAGTTCGGAAACCCTACATTTACCTTATATCGCAAAAAGGGCGATTGTCGGGTAGTTACCGGGCTTGGTGGTTACTTGGGATGTTTGCTGAAGTAACTAGGTTGCTATCTTTTATCTATA